TCGGCCACAGAAGAGCGCTCTTGGCATCTGCAGCATCGTCCACAGACGCCAAGAATCGACAGACTGTGGAATCGATAAACTATACGGGGAGAGAGAGAGACGAGCAAACTTCAAATATACTATTTTATATAATAGAGTTTTTTTGGGGGGTTAGATCGTATAAATATATAAAAGTCTCGTTAAAACCGGCCACTACCCGACAAAGCCAACTAGTGAGGGTTGTCACGTAAACAGAACGTGGCTAATTCGTCACTAGTACAGCACTAGTGTGTAGTGTAGTGTGTAGTGTATAGTGTAGTGTATAGTGTAATAGTGTATAGTGTAGTAGTGTATAGTGCAGTAGTGTATAGTGTAGTAGTGTATAGTGTATAGTTTAGTGTATAGTAGTGTATAGTGTAGTGTATAGTAGTGTATAGTGTAGTGTATAGTGTAGTGTATAGTGTAGTGTGTAGTAGTGTATAGTGTAGTGTAGTGTATCGTGTAGTGTATAGTGTAGTGTATAGTGTAGTGTATAGTGTAGTAGTGTATAGTGTAGTGTATAGTGTAGTGTATAGTGTAGTGTATAGTGTAGTGTATAGTAGTGTATAATGTAGTGTATAGTGTAGTGTATCGTGTAGTGTATAGTAGTGTATAGTGTAGTGTATAGTGTAGTGTATAGTGTAGTAGTGTATAGCATAGTGTATAGTAGTGTATAGTGTAGTGTATAGTCGTGTATAGTGTAGTGTATAGTGTAGTGTATAGTAGTGTATAGTGTAGTGTATAGTGTAGTGTATAGTGTAGTGTATAGTGTAGTGTATAGTGTAGTGTATAGTAGTGTACAGTGTAGTATTCTAGTACAGCACACCGGTGTGTTAAAGAGCCAAGCCACAACATTTACAATCTGAGTACGATGTTTCGCCAGTAAATAAAACCAGCTTTAAGGAACGAAACAGTAAGAATTCTCCACAAGTCTGGCTGTCGCCTGATGAAGCTGGTTGCAATTAGGCGAAACTCAGATATACTCAGATTGTAAATGTTGTGGCTTGGCTCTCCAACACACCGGTACTAGTAAACTACACTATACACTACTATACACTATACACTACTATATACTACTATACACTACACCATACACCCTACCCGTACCCGGCCGGGTACGGGTATGGGTACCCGTTTGCGACCCTGGTGCGGCCGGGTACGGGTACGGATAAGGAATCAAAACCCGTTTGCGACTTCTGCAGAAAACCAGCCAGCCTAGGACCCTGGGATCTCTAGCCCCGTTGTCTTTGTCAGGGCCGGGACTCTGTGTGGGCCAGTGGTGAGACCCTGGGACTCCCGGCCTGACGTCCTTGTAAGGGCCGTGTACGAGTGGGCCAGTGGTCGGGACCCGTACCTTGGCTGGGACGGGTCCGCATAGCCTCCCCTAGGTGGCTCGTAGCTGGAGGACCTGAGAGCTCTAGCTTGGAGGCTGTACCTCCCCGGGTGCTAAATAGAAAAGGGCTGTTGCCTGAGTGCTGTTAAGCGTTATTGAATATCGATTTAAAGCTTCTTTCGTGACTGCAGGGATTCATCTTCATGGTTCTTTCGGTAAAGTCACGTAGAAGGGAAATAATAAAATAATAAAAATAAAACATAAAATACAATTCTCACGACGTTTCGGCCACAACGCAAGCAGCGGTCCTCAGGTGAAGAACAGGTCTGTCGGAAAGACAGCGTCTGAATGAACACCGCCAAGCTTGGCAGCGTATATTTAAGCTGGGTTAGGGGACAAAGACATATTTCGTTGCTTCCTCTTCGTACCTTTCACGCGACGGTCAATGGTATAGTGTTTACTGTATTTTATTATGTTTTATTTTTATTCTTTATTATTTCCCTTCTACGTGACTTTACCGAAAGAACCAAGAAGATGAACCAAGAAGACGTTATTGAATAAACGCGTTGCCCCTACAAGTGGTCTCCAACAACTCACTACATCTTGTTCAGAAGAGACCCATTCCGGCCACGTGCACACGATAAGCTCGAGAGAAAGTGGCCCCGCAAGCCGGACCCATCGCTTCCGACTCCCCCGTCCCTCGACGAGCCTCAACTCGAGACATGCGTTTCTCCTACCTGGCGTTCTTTCACCTGCCGTCTCTCGGCATCATTGTCCCCCACCGCCCACCACCACCTCCCCCTTGCAGGAATGTCAGCGCTCATCTGAGCGCGCCGCGCGCACGTGTAGCGGATGACCCACCCGCTGCATCAGCGTCTCGTGTTTACTCCACCCCCCTCTTCCTCCTGCTCCTCTTTGTCTTGTTGTGCCCACGCGTGCAGAGGTCAACCCCGCAGTGCCACGTCTTCAATGTCGCCGTGCGTCGACACTGATGGCCGCGCGTTGTTTTGGTTCTATTTCTGGCCTGCGCGCGCTAAATGTGATGTCCGCCGTCCCGTTTTTTTCCCCCCTGAGCCGTGGCTCTTCGCCGGCTGTGGCCGGAATTGCCCTCGGCGGTAAAATCACAGCGGGAAGGTCGCACTGCTGGATGCTCACACAGAGAGGCTCCTGACGATGCCGCCTCAGGGCCTTGCCTGACGCCGGCTGCGAAGGCCGCGACTTAAACAATGGCCGCCGTCGTTCCCTCCGCTCGATCGCCGTACCGGGTACGGTACGCAGAGCCGGCCCAGCCACTAAGCGACCCTTGCAATTGCAAAGGGCGCCGTGGCCAGCAGAGAGCCCCCCTAGAGTCACTGCTAGCTAGTGGGTGAAAAAAATCATACATCAAAGGGGCCTCCAACCAAATTTTGCTTATGGCCCCCAAAGGTCTAGGGCCGGTTCTGACGGTGCGCATCTTGCGAAAGCCGTCGTCGCACGAACTCCGCTCACCGTCGCGGCGGCGGCGGCGGCTTTTGGGCCAGGCCGTCGAACGAAGACGGCGGCCGTCACGTCGCGCGGCGCTTTCAGATGCGCTGTTTCTGCGGCCATCGAACAAAACCGCGCGGGGGGGGGGGAGTTGCGGAGCACGGTGCGGAAGCAGCGAAGTCCACCACGTCTCGTCCATCGCGAGCCCTCACCGTTGCGTTTTCCTCTCACTCTTACAATTGACCTCCACTACTGTCCCTCGTAACCCACGACCGCCTGTGCACCAGGCCAGGTAGTCAACATCTCCTAGCCACCGTGATGATGAGAGAGAGAGAGAGACACGCAAAGTTTCTGTCACCCCGCGTTAGTCTTCACGTCGTCCCCATTAATCACGTGGCCGGTGGCACGAATTCATCTAAAAAAAAACTTAATTGCGGCCATGCTGCTCAGTGTAACATTGGATTCTGACCCACAGCGGATTGACAGCTTGCGTCAATTTCCACACACCCCCCACAGTACCACGTTGTGGTTGATCTGTAGCCTGGTTGTTGTTGTTGTTCAGGCAGAGAAGGGGGGTTGATCCATGAGCCACCCACCGTTTCTGAGGCTACCCCCCACCCGCTCGTATCGACAGAAAATGCCTCGAGCTCGTAGCAGCAGCGCCCTCTGTTGGGAACAGCTCGTGTGTGTTGGTGTGGTGTGTATGTGAGTGTGTTGGTGATGGTGTGTGTTGGTGAGTGTGTGTTGAGTGTGTGTGTTGGTGTGTGTTGGTGTGTGTGTGTTAGTGTGTGTGTATGTTGGTGAGTGTGGTGAGTGTGGTGTTGGTGTGTGTGTTAGTGTGGTGTGTGTGTGTTGGTGAGTGTGTGTTGGTGATGGTGTGTGTGTGTTGGTGTGTGTTGGTGTGTGTGTGTTGGTGTGGTGTGTGTGTTGGCGAGTGTGTGGTGTGTATGAGTGATGGTTGTGTGTGTGTTGGTGTGGTGTGTGTTGGTTTGTGTTGGTGTGTGTTGGTGTGTGTGTGTTGGTGAGAGTGTGGTGTGTGTGTTGGTGAATGTGTGGTGTGTATGAGTGATGGTTGTGTGTGTGTTGGTCCGTGTGGGGTGTGCAGTGTGTGTGTGGTGTGTGCGGTGTGTGTGGTGTGTGTGTACGTACGTGCGATGCACATGTGCGTACGTACGCCACGCGTACGCACCTACACGCGTGCGTACGTACGTGGCTGTCTTCTGTCTACAGAGAAGCCCCGTCACACGTGGCCAGGAGAACAACAACAACAGCAACAACAACAACAACAGCAAAAGACCTGGAGCGTTAAAAGATGTCAAGTTCTTTCTAGATTTGAAGTTTTCGTGACTGCAAGGATCCATACTCTTTGGTTCTTTCGGTAAAGTCACGTTGATGAAAAGTAAAAATAATAATAAAAATAACAAAAATGAAAATAACTCAATTAAATCACGACGTTTCGCAGGCAACACAAGCGTCCGTCATCAGGTGGAACAATCAAATTACTACAGGAATTTTACTGCTGTGGCTGTTCCACCTGATGACGGAAGCTTGTGTTGCCTCCGAAACGTCGTGATTCAATTTAGTGATTTTAATTTTATTATTTTTATTATTATTATTATTATTTTCCCATCTACGTGACCAAAGAGTATAAATTTCGATTTAAAGCTTTCGTGACTGCAGGGATTCATCTTCTTGGTTCTTTTGGTAAAGTCACGTTGAAGGGAAATAATAAAATAATAAAAATAAAACATAATAAAATAATTCTCACGACGTTTCGGCCACAACGCAAGCAGCCGTCCTCAGGTGAAGAACAGGTCTGTCTCTGTCTCAGATGCTGTCTCCCCGACAGACCTGGTCTTCACCTGAGGACGGCTGCTTGCGTTGTGGCCGAAACGTCGTGAAAATTATTATATCATGTTTTATTTTTATTATTTTATTATTTCCATTCTACGTGACTTCACCGAAAGAACCAAGAAAATCAAAGAGAATGTAAAATTCTGACGTTTCGTTTTTTTTTTGGGGGTGGGGGGGTGGAGGCATTTGCATAACCGGCGTGCGTGCCGATCGAGACGTTCGCTCCCCATTTGACTCCGGGACATGCGCGGACGGTGATTCATCCCGGTACGGACGAGGGTTCGACTTTCACCCACCGTGACCCCGTCGCCTTTGACCCCGCGGCAGGCTGGGACGCGTTCACGCGCGTTGTGCGGCTCGGGAAAACGACGATGCGGCCCTCGGGCGATGCCGTTGTCATCGAAGGCGACGGGGACATCACCGACGACCTGCTGAAGCTCATCCTCAACGGTGGGGGTCGGCCCCCCCTTTCCCCTCGATTTCCCTATCCATCTCCTCCCCCCCCGCACCCCAGATTTGTGTCAACCCCTTATCAGTGCCCCCTAGCTTATTACAGAGCAACTCAGACCTTAGTGATCACCCCGTGCCCCTTGTGAGTCTCAACGTTTAACCTACAAAGTCCCATCACAAGGGCAGATACACAAACAAATAGACAATCAACACTAGTACACTCACTAGTACACTCACCACTACTACACTCACCACTACACTCAACACTAGTATACTCACCACTACACTCACCACTACTACACTCACCACTAGTACACTCACTACTAGTACACTCAGCACTAGTACACTCACCACTAGTACACTCACCACTACACTCACCACTACTACACTCACCACTACACTCACCACTAGTACACTCACCACTACACTCACCACTAGTACACTCACCACTACTACACTCACCACTACACTCAACACTAGTATACTCACCACTACACTCACCACTACTACACTCACTACTACTACACTCACCACTAGTACACTCAGCACTAGTACACTCACCACTAGTACACTCACCACTACACTCACCACTACTACACTCACCACTACACTCACCACTAGTACACTCACCACTACACTCACCACTAGTACACTCACCACTACACTCACCACTACACTCACCACTAGTACACTCACCACTACACTCACCACTAGTACACTCACCACTACACTCACCACTACACTCACCACTAGTACACTCACCACTACACTCACCACTACACTCACCACTAGTACACTCACCACTACAGACACGGAGACACACAAGCAGAGAGAGACACACACAGAGACACACAGAGAGAGACACACACAGAGACACACAGAGAGACACACAGAGAGAGACACACACACAGAGACACAGAGAGAGACACACAGAGACACACACAGAGACACACAGAGAGAGACAAACACCCAGAGACACACAGAGAGAGACACAGAGAGAGACACGCACACAGAGACACACAGAAAGAGACACACACCACACACAGAGACACACGGAGAGAGAGACACACCCAGAGACACACATAGAGACACACAGAGAGAGATAACACAGAGACACACAGAGAGACACACACAGAGACACACAGAGAGAGACTCACACAGAGCACACAATGTGCCAAAGAGGTATTATTCATAATAGAGGTTTCTGGGTCAGATCCCGTTATTTATAAATGCGTCGCAACCCTCCACCACCCGACACGGCCAATCGGCAAGAAATGTGTCACGTTAACAAAACGCCAATTAGTAACTTCTTGAGCCCACCGGTGTGTTTGAAGAGTAAAACCACGACATTGACAATTCGAATACGAAGTTTCGCTGGAAATGACACATCCGGCATCTTTCGGGCGATTTGACATTTTCACAAACTCGCCAAACCCACCGATTCTGGTTAAACTCACATTCGTGCTGCCATGCCCCCCCCCCACGTGCCCCTCCCCTACCTCCCCTGCCCCCCCCCCATTCCCCTGCCCCCCCCCCCCCCCGATGACGTGTAGGCGGCTACACGACGGTGACGATCCTCCAGACGGTCGTCGGGCCCGACGGAAGCGTCGACACGCGGACCTTCGTTCTCGAAGGGGAAGACATCGAGGATCAACTTCAGCGCATCATCATCGACGGTCAGTCACGTGGGCCCGCTCGCAAACACCCACCACGTGCACCAGCTGGGACGCACGCGGCTGAACGTGGCTGCGGTGCCACGGGTCAGCGGCACGCCAAGCCGCGTCGCGAGCCGCTACGGGATTGCTAATTGAAGGCGACGATGCTTGCGGCCGCCCTTAATTGTACGCTTTTGGAGGAGACATCGTACGCGAGGGTGCGATGCAGAGGTCGCAAACGGGTTTTGATTCCTTACCCGTACCCGTACCCGGCCGCACCAGGGTCGCAAATGGGTACCCGTACCCAGCCGGGTACGGGTACCTGTTCCCTGCCCGTACCCGTCCGCCTTTCCGAAATGAGTGACAAACAGTTACTCACCAGTGACTCACGGCCTACCCGTACCCGTACCCGGCCGGGTACAGGTAGGGTACGGGTACGGGTACCCGATTGCGACCTCTGGGATGCAGCCATGTTGCAGGCGCGGGTTGGTTGATTCTAGGAACTTGAATTGTGAGAAGAGACAAGACGTTGGGAAATGAGTGACAAACGGTGACTCACCAGTGACTCATGGCCTACCCGTACCCGGCCGCACCAGGGTCGCAAACGGCTACCCGTACCCGTCTGGGTACGGGTAGCCGGGTATCGGGTAGGGTACGGGTATCGGGTACCCGGTTGCAACCTCTGGTGCGATGGAAGAATCGCCGGGGTCTGGCGTGTGTGACGCGGCAAACGTGGGCTTGCGTGGTCACGATCGCAGTACCTCGCAAATCGTGGTGCGGTAATCACCACGATTTGCCGGTGAATTTGTTTCTGGAACAATGTTGAACTCGTTACCGGGGGAGTCTCTTTGCACCGACTCGTGTGGGAGGAGGCCACGGTGGCTAGGAGATGTTGACTACCTCGCCTGGTATGCAGGAGGTCGTGGGTTCGATCCCGAGCCTGACGATGCCTGCTGCTGTATATTTGGAGTTTGTGTGTCTCTCTCTCACAGTGGTGAGATGTTAACTACCTCGCCTGGTATGCAGGAGGTCGCGGGTTCGATCCAGAGCCTGATGACCACTATTTGTTTGGAGTTTGCATGTTCTCCCCGTGGTCGCGTGGATATTTTTTTAATTTATTTTACTAGGTAAGGCCCACTGAGCTACGTATCTCTATTTCAGAATCGGCCTGGCCACAAATGATAGCCCAACGAAGTTGGCTTATCGCGTGGACATTTATAGCAGCCAAATCCTCTAAGACGCGTGATGTTAATTCTAAATTTGGAGGGCAAAACCGTGAGGACCCTGAGAAAAATCCACGCGACCACGGGGAGAACGTGAAAACTCCAAATATACAGGTGGCAAGGTCGGGATAAAACCCACGACATCCTGTAAACCAGGCGAGGTAGTTAACATCTCACCACCATGGCACTCCGAACGAACCCGGTGACCCGAGTTCGATTCCCACTCACGGCCAACACCAGAGACGATTATCTGAATAGGTCATTGGGCCTCCCCTATGTTGACTCAGCCTCAAATGAGTACCTGCTGCTGGTACGATGTGAAAACATCGCCACAGGGAGACAAAGGCAGCCGGGAGTGGTACTGGCCACCCATCCCCCTCGTGTGCCGTGCCGGCCTGCATAGATAGGTGCTACTCGATAAAAGCACTTGCCCCAACAGTCTGTTGAGGCTATACGGTGGTGGGGGATCTTTGTCTTTGGTGTGACCACCCCCCTGTCCCCCCCCCCCCCCCCCCCCCCCCCCCCACGTAGGCTGGAACGTGCTGACAGAGAAGAAAGCCTCTGGAACCTTCTCGCTGGACGGAGACAGAATCTCCGAGGAGCTGCTCCGACAGATCCGTGCCGGTGAGGGGGTGGGGGCGGTGGTGGGGGGGTTGATGCGACTGTCGCTGAAATTTCACCGTCGCCGCCACCGCCGCTCTCGTTCACCTCGTCGCTCCGTCGTCCAATCACTGTCCCCACCAATTTAAGCTCCCAAAAAAAAGCCTTTTTTTTTTAAATCCTTTATGTTAAGTTCGCTTGCTTGCTTACGACCGTGCAAATCTTTCGGTCGTTTTTTAACCCACTTCCCGTGATCCAATCGAGCTGACATTTTGCACACAGACTCGTTGTGCGTGACAATTAATGTTCGTGAACATTTTTTTCCAAAATTTTACACTGTTTAGGGAAAACAAATTAAATATTTAATTACCAATTGCTTAATACTGGCAGACAATCATCTGACCCATAGGTGGCAGCCATCTCAAGCCAGAGGACGAGAGGACTCTAGCCGCCACGCATATAAAGGATTTAGAGTGAAAAACTTTGTTTTTACGGGTTATACTTGTTACCAGGTAAGGTCCCACTGAGCCGTGTGGTAGATCTTTCAAAAGCGGCCTCGTCACGAGTGATGGCCCAACGAAGCGGCTCATCATCGTGTGGACATTTACAGCAGCCAAATACTCTAAACGCGTGACGTTGATTCTAATATGTGGAGGGGAAAACCGGAGGACCCGGAGAAAAATCCACGCGACCACGGAGAGAGAGAAAGACAAGCAAACTCCAAATTTACAGCAGGCGTCAGAGTCGGGATCGAGCCCACGACCTCCTGCATACCAGGCGAGGTGGATAAAATCTCCTAGCCACCGTGATGATGATGTTGAGAGAGAGACACGCAAAATCCAAATATACAGCAGGCGTCAGAGTCAGGATCGAACCCACGACCTCCTGCATACCAGGAGAGGTGGTTAACATCTCCTAGCCACCGTGATGATGCTGATGAGAGAGAGAGACACGCAAACTCCAAATATACAGCAGGCGTCAGAGTCGGGATCGATCCCACGACCTCCTGCATACCAGGCGAGGTAGTTAACATCTCCTAGCCACCGTGATGATGCTGATAAGAGAGAGAGAGACACGCAGACTCCAAATATACATCAGGCGTCAGAGTCGGGATCGAACCCACGACTTTCTGCACGCCAGGCGAGGGAATTATCATTTCCCCACCGCGGTGCCCGGATGATTAAGCTCCGACCGATCCGGCCCCAATAGGTCGGAGTGCCCAACTCGCTAAACGGAAGGTCACAAAAGGTCAGATCCCACGTTTGGGTTGGACTCGTCCCATCGTCACGCGGAGGTTGAAATTGTGCGTGTGCCACTTTGTGCGAGGTCATCGAAGTGGCACTCGGCACTCGACGATTGTAACTCTTCGATGTAAAGCTTTCGTGACTGCAGGGATTCATCTTCTTGGTTCTTTCGGTAAAATCACGTAGAAGTCCGACAGACCTGTTCTTCACCTGAAGACGGCTGCTTGCGTTGTGGCCGAAACGTCGTGAGAATTATTATTATTATTTTTTTCCCTTCTACGTGACTTTACCGAAAGAACCAAGAAGATTGTGACCCTCTTGAGATTCTGTCGAAAGCTGTGAACTCGGCCCCACCGGGAGGAGGAGATTGCCGCTGCCCGTGCGAGCATGGCGATACTCCGGTCCCATTCGTCCCGTCGTCATCATCATCGTCATTCCTCTCGTTACTATCGCCGCCAAGATTACCGGCTCTGCTAAGCGTCGGTCCGTGCCGTTTGCAGGCGCGTTCAGCAAGGTGACCCTGCGCAAGACCATTGTGGACGCTGACGGCAGCCGCAGCGTGAAGACGTTCACCCTGGAAGGGGATGATCTGGAGGGGCAGATCAGGCGGCTCATCAGCGAAGGTACGGCAGACCCACGATTCGTCAGCCCGGCCGGGTGGCGCCTGGTTTGATGCGGCCGGGATCAACCGTTCCGTTGCCGGTTCGCAGAGAGGAGAATGGCGTTTTAAGATCCGTCCGACGTCTGGGGCATTCACGGAGCGGTGGTTGTCAGTGGCGGTTGTTTACAACAAGTCGAAGGCCTTACTTGGTGAATAAAAAAAAGAGTTCACAGTTTTTTGGGGTTTTTATAGCTTCTACGTCAGTGAGACGAGGCTCAAAAGAAAGGCGTCTCTGGTGCGGACCAATCAGTTTCAAGGGCAATGCATTTATTATCAGAGTGTGTCTTTTGTTTGCATTTTGACCACAAGAATTGTGGTTAATGCAGACGTGATTCCTTGTAAAAAGGTTTCAGTTTTGTTGCCAAAAAAAAGGGGAAAAACCCTATTATTATTATTATATTTATAGCTTCATAAGAGTGACGCCGTTTTGAGAACACGGGCGCTGGCGGGAGGTGACCCGCCCACTCGCACGGAACCGATTTCTGCGGTGTCGCTGTCGAGCCCGTCGAACGCCGGACTTTCAGAATCGGAATCAGGTGTATTCATGCCAGAGGAGGAATCCGATGAGCCGTGAAGCTCTTTCGTCGCAAGGGGGTCCAGTAGCAGGGGCACGGGGTCAGAAGGTCACGACGACAAAACGATACGAAAGGCACGACAGGAGTTCAAAGAACTTGAGAAAAAAATAAAATAATAAAAATAAAACATAATAAAATAATTCTCACGACGTTTCGGCCACACCGCAAGCAGCTGTCCTCAGGTGGAGAACAGGTCTGTGACTTTACCGAAAGAACCAAGAAGATGAATCCCTGCAGTCATGAAAGCTTTAAATCGAAAAAAATATAAATACAGATAAAACTTAACTATCTGTTTTCATAGTACTAGTTTTTTCCATTTTATCTGGCACCAAAAACTGACACCTTTATACAAGGGATCATGTTTGCAATAACCACAACACAAGCAGTCAAAATGCAAACAAAAAGATATGCACGGTCCTTGAAGTTGATTGGTCCACACCCGAGACGGCTTTTCTTAGAGCCTAGTCTCCATTGGTGTTGGACCAGATGACGCCAAAAGCCGTACGACTCAAAAACAGCGCACTATCAGAGTATTGAGAGCTCGGGGTAAGCATTTACACTATGAGACATCTCCTTTACCAGTGGCAAAATATAGTAATAGGTTTTTACCCTTTTATCTGGCACCAAAACTGACACCTTTATACAAGGGATCATTCGTTTTTACCTTACCAGGTTAAAGCCCACGGAGCTATTAGCTTACTTTTTCAGAGGCGACCCAACCGCAAATGATAGCTCAACGGAGTGGCTCATGGACATCGCGTGGTCATTCATAGGAATCAAAATCGTCTGAAAAGTTATCCCAAGCGCACACATTCGGTTTTTAAAATACTTTATATTAAGTTCACTTGCTTGCTTGCTTAGGACCGTGCAAATCTTTCGGTCGTTTTTAACCCACTTCCCGTGATCCAATCGAGCTGACATTTTGCACACAGACTCGTTGTGCGTGACAATGCATTTTCGTGAAAAAAAATTCCCAAAATTTTCCACTTGTTAGGAAAAAACTAAATTTCATATTTAATTTTAAATACCAATGTGATCAAAATGAAACTCTTACTCAAGAAAACCAGAAATGAATAATAAAATAAAACCGATGCCACGCATATAAAGGATTTATAGTGAAAAACTTTGTTTTTACGGGTTAATTTTTTTCGCTCGCGCGTTTCACTTTGTTTTGATTCGTCACGACATCGAGGACTAAACTCCGGTCTGTAGAGGGCGCGATTCCCACGGGTGGAAACGCAGCAGCGTCTCTGTCGTCATGGAGAGTGAGGAAAATGACCGAGAGTGCAAATGTGGCTTCAGTCATCAGCATCGGAAGGATCAGAAGCGTTTCTTCCCGGCCGGGAGACCAACATCAGCAGCAAAAGCATTCCATCTTAACAAATACACAGATTTAAAACTATAAACTGAAACAATTTTTTTTTATTTGACCAGGTAAGGCGCACTGAGCTACTTAGCTCTATTTCAGAAGCGACCTGGCCACCAAAAATCATAGCCGGACGAAATGGCTTATCGCCGTCACGCAGAAATGTATAGCAGCCAAATACTCTAAAACGCACATTTCGAAATGTGGAGGCAAAAACCAGAGGACCCGGAGAAAATCCACGCGACCACAGGGAGAACATGCAAGCTCCAGGCATCGTCAGGGTCGCGATCGAACCCACGTGACCTCCTAGTATACCAGGCGAGGTAGCTAACATCTCGCCACGCGCTTAATGAAAGCAATTACAATCATACAATCACAGTCACGCTCGGAACTTTTGTGTGATCTTCGTCGAGGCAGTTCAGGTGAGCACGGAGATGGCAGGACAGGATTACGAATCGGAGCGGTAGAGAGTCAAAGTGTCTCCCCTAATGATCGCAGTTGACGGGTCCCCTCTGCTGGAGCCAGCTGAGTCTCTCCGTAGCAAAGGGGGCCCATCTTCTTGGTTCTTTCGGTAAAGTCACGTGGAATGGAAATAATAAAATAATGAAAATGAAACATAATAAAATTTCGATTTAAAGCTTTCGTGACTGCAGTGATTCATCTTCTTGGTTCTTTCGGTAAAGTCACGTAGAAGGGAAATAATAAAATAATAAAAATAAAACATAATAAAATAATTCTCACGACGTTTCGGCTACAACGCAAGCAGCCGTCCTCAGGTGAGGACGGCGTGAGAATTATTTTATGTTTTATTTTTATTATTTTATTATTTCCCTTCTACGTGACTTTACCGAAAGAACCAAGAAGATGAATCCCTGCAGTCACGAAAGCTTTAAATCGAAACAGATGTATTTGTACGAAATGCTTCCGCGCGGGATCGTGCGATCCAAATGGCATTCTCCCCTGCTAGGATGCGTGGTTCTCCACTGTTTGGCGAAGAATAAAAAGAGATGTGCATGCGTGTGTGTGCGCGCACGTGCGCGCGTGTGTGTAATATACAGTAATGTTTTTTTTCGTGAAATTGGCCATAAAAATCTTTGGGACGTATTATTATTGTAGATCATTTTTACGGCACTCTTCCAATACCTGCCACACATCCCATAATTCTTCCCAACACCTTGGCATTGCAGTCATTGCAGATAATGTAGCTATATAATATATATCTTTGTGTGTGTGTGTGTGTTTGCGAGCGTGCGGGCCTGTATATGATATATAAATCCGAGCGGGGAACAGTTGTGCTTTTTTTAAATTGTATAATCTATACGTTTTGTACATTTCGCTGTGCATGCTGTACATGGTGTGCTACATGCACATTGCGTACAAGGTTTGTGGCGTCGTCGTTCTCCCAGTCCTGCTTTTTCTCTTTAAGTTTTGTCAATCTAGATGACGATTTAAAAGTGCCATAGCTCCCATTGGCTTCCTGTCGGAAGGAAGAGCGTTCCAGGCGGCCGGAGCGGGAAAAAGTGTTCATAGGCCATCAAGAGTTCATTGAAACACAAAGACAGGTTAAAAAATTAACCCGTAAAAACAAAGTTTTTCACTCTAAATCCTTTATATGCGTGGCGGCTAGAGTCCTCTCGTCCTCTGGCTTGAGATGGCTGCCATCTATGGGTCATATGATTGCATGGCAGCATTAAGCGATTGGTAATTAAATATAATATTTTTGTCCTAAAAAGTGTAAAATTTTGGAGAAAAAAATTTCACGAAAATTAATTGTCACGCACAACGAGTCTGTGTGGAAAATGTCAGCTCGATTGGATCACGGGAAGTGGGTTAAAAAACGACCGAAAGATTTGCACGGTCGTAAGCAAGCAAGCACGCGAACTTAATATAAAGGATTTAAAAAAGGCAAACGTTTAATCGGCGGGGTTTTGACGACAAACGTCGACGCGTCACCACGCCAGAGCCACCGACGTAGCTATATCCGGCGTGGGGGCGGTTTGGTCATCTCCTCTGTCGCCCGCTCTCTCCCCAGGGGGCATCTTGCACACGTCGGTGAGGAAGACGGTGACGAAACCCGACGGCACGACGAGCGTGGAGACGTTCAACGTGGACGGCAAAGACTTCGACGTCGAGGAGCAGATCCGGCGCATAACGGCCAGCGGTGAGAGGCCCTTGGGCACGCGCGTGGCAAGGCCGACACAGAGGCAAAGGTTTCCCGGATAGCCTCGACTGGCTGTCGGGGCAAGTGGCCGTGAGCGAGTAGCACCCTACGAAGGCCGGCACGGAACACGAGATGGTGTGCTAAGGGACTCATGCGGTCACCTGAGGACGGCTGCTTGCGTTGTGGCCGAAACGTCGTGAGAATTATTTTATTATGTTTTATTATTTTATTATTTTATTATTTCCCTTCTACGTGACTTTACCGAAAGAACCAAGAAGATGAACCCCTGCAGTCACGAAAGCTTTAAATCGAAATAGAATTCAACTCTTATAATTTTATTTTATTATGTTTGAGAATTGTATTTTATTATGTTTAATTTGTATTATTTTATTATTTCCATTCTACGTGACTTTACCGAAAGAACCAATAAGATGGTGGTGGTGGCCAACACCACGCCCGGCCGCCTTTCTCTCCGCAGTGGTGATAGTTTACATGCCAATCTAGATTTGAAGTTTTCGCGACTGCAGGGATCCATACTCTTTGGTTCTTTCGGTAAAGTCACGTAGAGTAGAAAATAAAATGAATCACGACGTTTCGGACGCTTGTGTTGCGCCCGAAACGTCGTGATTTAATTTATTTTATTTTATACCTACGCGACTTTACCGAAAGAACCAAGGAGTATAGTTTGCATACCGTACCAGGTACTCATTTGATGCTGAGCAGACTTGGGGGCGGTCCAGAACCGGATCAGATAATCGTTGCTGGTGTTGATGACAGTGAGCGACGAATAAACTCGGGTGGCCGGGTTCGTAACGCAGTCCAGCCAACACACACACACAGCTGTGCCGAGCACACACACACACAGCTGTGCCGAGCACACACACACAGCTGTGCCGAGCACACACACACACAGCTGTGCCGAGCACACACACACACAGCTGTGCCGAGCACACACACACACACAGCTGTGCCGAGCACACACACACACACAGCTGTGCCGAGCACACACACACACACAGCTGTGCAGAGCACACACACACACAGCTGTGCAAAGCACACACACACACACAGCTGTGCAGAGCACACACACACACACAGCTGTGCCGAGCACACACACACACAGCTGTGCCGAGCACACACACACACAGCTGTGCCGAGCACACACACACACACACAGCTGTGCAGAGCACACACACACACACAGCTGTGCAGAGCACACACACACACAGCTGTGCAGAGCACATACACACACACACAGCTGTGCCAAGCACACACACACACAGCTGTGCAGAGCACACACACACCCACAGTCCACCAGTTTCTTCCCACAGCAGCCAAATTCTCTAAACGCATGACGTCGATTTATAAACGTGGAAGGAAAATCCACGCGGCCACGGGGAGAACACACAAACTCCAAATATGCAGAAGGTATCGTCAGGGTCGGGATCGAACCCACGACCTCCTGTATACTAGACGAGGTAGTTAACATCTCACCACGGAAAGAGAGACACGCAAACTCCAAACATACAGCAGGCATCGTCAGGGTCGGGATCGATCCCACGACATCCTGTATACCAGGTGAGGTAGTTAACATCTCACCACTGTGAGAGAGAGACACTCAAACTCCAAATAGACATCAGGTATCGTCAGGGTCGGGATCGATCCCACGACATCCTGTATACCAGGTGAGGTAGTTAACATCTCACCACTGTGAGAGAGAGACACTCAAACTCCAAATAGACATCAGGTATCGTCAGGGTCGGGATCGATCCCACGACCTCCTGTATACCAGGCGAGGTCGTTAACATCTCACTACTGTGAGAGAGAGACACGCAAACTCCAAATATACAGCAGGCATCGTCAGGGTCGGGATCGATCCCACGACCTCCTGTATACCAGGCGAGGTCGTTAACATCTCACCACTGTGAGAGAGAGACACGCAAACTCCAAATATACAGCAGGCATCGTCAGGGTCGGGATCGATCCCACGACCTCCTGTATACCAGGCGAGGTCGTTAACATCTCACCACTGTGAGAGAGAGACAAGCAAACTCCAAATAGACATCAGGCATCGTCAGGGTCGGGATCGAACCCACGACCTCCTGTATACCAGGCGAGGTGGTCAACGTCTCACTATCTCGACTGACTGAGAGTCACCAATGTGCTAAGGGACTCATGCGGTCACTTGGTGTGTGGCGACCCCTTGATTCATTGATTTGTAGTAGATTGTGATGATTATGATAATGATTGTACATCCATACCAGCCTGTGCGTTGGAATCAATTGTAATCGATGTATCGATGCATCACTAAAGGCCCAGTCTTTCGCCAAACAAACCTGAGCACGTTCATCAAACAACACTGTGGCCTTAAAAAGGAGAAAATAAATAACGGGCGCCACCGTGCGTGCGATGGCCCTCCATCATAGGCCCTACTCTGACGTGTACGTACAGTGAGGGAAACAAGTATTTGATCCCCTGCTGATTTTGTACGTTTGCCCACTGACAAAGAAATGATCAGTCTATCATTTTAATGGTAGGTTTATTTGAACCGTGAGAGACAGAATAACAACAACAAAATCCAGAAAAACGCACGTCAAAAATGTTATACATTGAGTTGCATTCTAATGAGGGAAATAAGTATTTGACCCCCTCTCAATCAGAAAGATTTCTGGCTCCCAGGTGTCTTTTACACAGATAACGAGCTGAGATTATTAGGAGCACACTCTTAAAGGGAGTGCTCCTAATCTCATCCCACACGGATGCTCCTCTCGTTCAACACCACACACTCCTGTCGCGAACTCTTCCACTGCTAGCCGGCTACTTAGAGCTTACTCTCTCTCTCTCGCTCCGCTAGCTCATTACTCCCCGCTCTCCTAGCCTGTCACAGACTCTCTCTCTCTGTATACTCTGCTTATCGCACTCAGACTAAAGATTCCGCTAGCCTCTCCTCCGCTAGCTTGTGGTCACACACGCACCTCCAACCTTCGCCCGTGCCCCAAACGGGGGTTCAGCCAACACCGCTGGGTTAGGACGAGGTGTGTGGAGGGCGACGTCACGGACTTCTCTTGAATATCTTCACTGCTTCATCTCCAACCAACTCAACCCAACTGCCTTACATCCTCCTCCTCATTAAGGGCCCTCAGATGGCCCTCATTAAGCCGGCGTCCTCCCCACGCCCCGCGCACGCGTTCTCCCCCTTATCGCCACTATCTCTCGCCTCCGTGGCGCCTACCCTGCGTTTGCAGCCGGTCAATCACTGCCTCTCTCCCTAATTGCTGGCGTCTCTCTGTCTGCTGTCACCCAGGTCACCCGACTGCACTATCTGTGACCCCGTGCATGAATGCAACTGCTGTTTGCAAGCCCTGCGCGCGTTACGCCACTGCATATATCTTGCCGATATTTTAATTGGATCTCCCGTATGCCAGGCGAAGTAGTGAACATCTCACGCACCGCGCGAATGCGCCGGGTCACGAGTCTATTTTTACTTTCACAATAAAAACACAAAAAAGTTATAATATTTTTAGATTCTTGGTTCTTTCGGTAAAGTCACGTAGATAGAAAATAAAATAAAATGAAAATAAAAAAATCTATTAGAAATAAAAGCAAAAAACCACGACGTTTCGATCGCAACACAAGCGGTCGAAACGTCGAGGTTTTTTGCTTTTATCTAAAAAAAAAATGTTTTTTTTTCCAAAGAACCAAGAATATGAATTCCTGCAGTCACAAAAGTTTTAAGTCAAAATATTATATTTTTATTTTATTTTTGCCGTACACACGAACAAAGGTTCGCTGCGTAAAACGTCGCGTGACGACAACAGCAAACCACACGAGAATATATCCGCCAGGCCCCATTGTGTACCCGGCACGCCCTGGCTGACGAGAGAGGCATGGGGCAGAGCGGAGTTTTGATTCTTAAGGAGAGACTCGCCTGGATCTTCATCCATCACGCGGCTGAATCTCCGCTTTTCATTCAAATGCCGACGCTTGCCGTAACACGAGAAAAAAACCTAAGCTGTCGTGGCTAAGTCACGGAAATAATTCTCGATTTAAAGCTTCTTTCGTGACTGCAGAGATTCATCTTCTTGGTTCTTCGGTAAAGTCACGTAGAATGGAAATAATAATATAATAAAAATTTAACATAATAAAATAATTCTCACGACGTTTCGGCCACAACGCAAGCAGCCGTCCTTAGGTGAAGAACAGGTCTGTCGATAAGACATAGTCTGAATGAGTCTGAATGACACTGTCTCCCCGACAGACCTGTTCTTCACCTGAGGACGGCTGCTTGCGTTGTGGCCGAAACGTCGTGAGAATTATTTTACTATGTTTTATTTTTATTATTTTATTACTTCCCTTCTACGTGACTTTACCGAAAGAACCAAGAAGGGGAAATAATTCTGCTTCTTATTTAACGAGTTGGGAATTTGGGAAGGAGCCAAAAAATGTAAAAAAAACTACCTTTCATCCCCATGTGTGTGGAAGTCTTTGCGAGCTTTAATGCATTTTAGTTTACGGCCTTTGTTTGAAGTGACTCATTTCAACGTGGAGTTTAAGCATGCCCTGCTTCGGAGCCAGAGATCGCTATAAAATCTCGCGCTGTATTACAACATCAACAATGATAAATTATCCTTTTTGGTTTTAGGATTTTGACATTTTGACAATCCACAAAATTGCAAAAGCAACCGGGCAAAGGCATCCACGGCTTTTAACAGACCCATCGCAACCGATCCATTGAGAGAATAATCATCTTTATTTTATAAAGCGTCTTTCTTGACTAGTCAACTTCATTTGCACTGCACATAGCCAGCCGTGCTAATGCTAATGTATGTATGTTGAACTTATTTTTAACCGTACGCAGCCAACCATACCAAGGCTCATGTATGTATGTATACTCTTTGGTTCTTTCGGTAAAGTCACGTAGGTGAAAATAAAAATAATAACAAAAACAATAAAAATAAATCTTCTTGGTTCTTTCGGTAAAGTCACGTAGAAGGGAAATA